GGAACCTCTTGGGAGGCGATTGACTACTGGCTATTAGTTGCAACCAACATAAGCTTACCGGAAGCTTGCAATTCAATGAATTTATCACTGAAATTGAAATTGGATTCAATCGACGACATGGTTTAATAATTGTTCGTAATGATTTCTCGTATATATTTATCGTTACTGTTGCCGAACTGTTTAGGATGGCTCGGTGGGCATATATTGAATTTGCGTTAATGTTTGGTGATCTATCACAGGTATGCGTTTAATCATCAAACATTCGTGACATCTAATGGTTATCATTTCTGCTCAACTTTGCAGACTAATTATATGTTTTATCGCCGATTACACGAGTGCATCATTAATTGAGTATATTAAATCACAGGTGTCGTATTTGTCTACAAACTTACATTGATTACAAATGATTAGTTTGCTATTACATATTTGATTGAGGCAATAATTGTAAGTAATAATTCAATTTCTTGGTATCCTCGTGCATTACGTATCTACCATTTTTCAAATTTAAAAATAAAATTGTACCTTGCAGTCTTCATAATAAATTAAAACTATTCTGAATTCGGTATTAGACACTATTTTCCATTACATTAATTTCCATGCAACAATAATCGATATACCGAGAACATATTTCTATGGATTTTAATACATTCATAAATATACAAATGTGTACAAATATTTCTAATTCGCTTATCTCTTTAAAAATCACAAGAAATATTTCCGCCACGATGGTAAACTACGAATGTTCAAAGTTCCAGAAAATTTGATTACAAGTTTGATTAATTTCAATGCTTTTCATTTAGTTCGATGTTTAACAGAACTCCCGACAGACAGTGCCATGTTTTTCCTGTTTTCCCGAATTACCGAGCGGCGGTTCGCATCCGTGTAATAATTTACAGGCCGATAATTACGATGCTAGCTGTTAACGAGTTATCGAAGATGAAGATTTCACGTGCTACAGGATTTCATTGTATCAAATTATCCTATGTAATTTCCAGTTCCCCATAGTTCGAAAGTTTACCGAAACTTCAACAAATAGCACCGCCATGCACGTCCGCCGAACTCGGTGCGGCGCACGGCACGTAAAGATCGTACGGTTTGATTAAACTTTAATGATGGAAGTATGAATAAATCGTGCTGACGTGGGGCTATCGTATCAATGGGCTTACATACATACGTATGTACATATATCTGCCGTATTATACCCGACGATGATCTCAGCCGATATTTTTTGTGAACGAGAGAGCTTCGGCTTTTTCAGATTTGCTGGCTCAGTTTGGATCACGTGTATATAATATATCAATTATTAATAATATTTCATGGAAATTGGAAACTTTAAATATTATTACGATAATCATCAACTTTAGAAACAATTTGAAATAAAAGGTTTCTTTGTGTTTTAATAATACTGGGTGATAAGTAGGTTTTATATAACATATTTATATGAAATATGTGGAAAATATCTATGAATGTATTCCTTAAAATTTTAGTAAAATTACTCAAAAAAAACTAAAGTTACTCATTGTAGTAAACTATTTAAATGTTTCATGTAAAACTATTTTTACACATATTTATATTTATAGACATTTATGGCCAAATTTCTTTAATAGTTAAGAAATAAAAATAAATCTGTGTGTCAACTTATTAAACTTTGCACTTTACTTTGTCCCTTTTATCTTTATTCAAGTACGTGCACAGTTCTTGGTGTCTGGTTACGAAGTATTAAAATTCATGGTTAGTTCTGTCTTGAAGTTAATCTCGAATCGAATAAATATACGTAATAAAGTAACAGACAATCAGTGATGTGCAACGTGCGTTGCATTCAATGTTTTATGGCCATCTGTATACATTAAACTCTGAAATTCTAGAAGAATTGGGAACAGATGAGGAATTCATAAAAACAGTAGAGATCGATTTCATATATTCACATCGCCTGACATGACGTTCAAGTTAGCTATGTAGTAGTGTAAATATTCCAATGTTTAATTCAGGAAATGTGAATCTATAGTTGATCTCTTCGAAAAATTGACTCTTTCGTAGCAAATTTAATATTGATCTTGAAACATGCAGTGTTTGAATATTCTTCCTAGTATTTCGACCGTTACCGCCATTTTGGAAAATAAACAGCAAAAAGATGTGAATTTCAACTATTTTATCAGTCGTAATGGAGAACGATTTAATATTAACTTAACGAGTTTACTGCAATCGTTGGATGGCGTGACACCCTTACGTTTTTTAATAATTGATTATTAATTACTTTTTTTATTAACCTTTTACCTAATAATTCAAAAATATTTAAAAAAGGTAAGCACCACTTACATTACTCAAATTCAATTAAAAATTTTCACGAGTCTAACCTGATATCGTAGGTCAAAGGGTTAATACATCATTTTACATCGTTCAATTACCGAGTAAAATTCCCTTCAACCGAGCAGAATGCGAGTGCTGAAACACATTTTAGGATATAAAGAATGGCCTCCATAGAAATTCTGGTTGCACAAAAACATCGATATCGTTGGACGTTGTTTCGTAAACCAGCCAACATTTTTCTTTCAAAGGACAAATTGCTACGTGGCTGCATATATATATATATACATATAATCACACTGGTTTCTGACGCAACAGGGACGAAAAATAAAATTCGATGACTGCACGCATATTTACCTCGTCTTTCAGGTTGTTTCCCCCTCGAAACAGGCGTCATGCATATTCTATGAACAGCCCGGCGCCGAAACCGCATGGCAGCCTTGCGGTAATGTTATCCTAGAAGCCTCTCAGATTCATACAGCCGCCGTGAATGCACACCTTGGATCGGAGATTTTGAAAAACGATAAAGCGAGCCGAACCGCAACAGAGCCGCGGGGTTACCTTTGATGTAACGCCCGAGCCTTTTACCTACAGCAAATTCTTCCCTTCGCTGATCAACGTCCGCTCCAAGACGGAATTATTCTTGATAATTAAATCGGTAATTGGGAACCGGGAAACTAATGAGAATCCACGTCTGTGATGTGAGAATATTCGATACACAAAGAACGAAAATATTAACCTTCTGCAATCTAATTTTTCTGCCACCCACATACTCCCTAGCTTTAATTTTGTTTTAATCACATCTTATAAAATGATCACATAAATATGAACTAATTTTATGATTATATTAGCGATTTTAAATTATATGGAATAATCGAAGTATTATTGTTTATTATGTATTATAATATAATAATTCTATCGATTGATAATATTATTATATAATGTTATGGACGAAAACTTTTTGAAGTATCCTTTTGAATTTTTGAATTTTTATCTTAAAATTGTTTTCCAAGTTTAGTCGTACATTCTGAATTGGACTTTTTGACTTTCCCAATGATGATTATAAAATGAACTGTAGGAAATGTCTAAGAATTAACTATAGAAAATATTTTCAAGTTAAAATTTTGAAAGGCCTCTTTGGACACCTTTGGTAGAAATAGCGTTAACATGCTGGAGTAATGAAATAAAAAGGAAATTCTTAGGTGTTAATGAATATTAACTACATGCTCCTGTCACGCTAAAAATCAGTACTAATATTCATCGAGTAAACGAATAATTAACATTTTTTAAAACCGTTTAACTTTTTATTCGGCGTGATTCTTTTGCTTCGCTCGTATCATTATATTTAAAAGAGAAACTCCGAACAATACGCGCATAAAAATTCACCCCATGACCAAATACCTCTGCTCTGCGGTGATAAGAACCGCACGAAATAAATTCTACTTTCGCCGGGGAAGCATTTTTCAAATTGAATTAATAATTATAGTGAAAACAGTATTTTTTCATTTTTCAAAACGTTCCGCGGAGAGATGGGACTAGGAGAAGACTGTTCGCATCATGGTTCGCCGTCTGCTATTCAGAGCATTTAAGTAATTAAATGCGAAGAAAAACAGAAAAGATAATTTGAATATAAATGCCTTTCATCTGAGCAACTACGTAACCGGGGCAAGATGGGGAAATGTGAAATGAACTACCACCTTCTCATCGGTCTCGGCTTCATAATACGTACGCGTTCAACGAGATCCCTTAATTTAAACATTTCTTGAAAGATTCACCAGGGAGGTTAATGTATCTTGCAAATTCTCTCGGCGATTTCGTATAATAATTTCTATTTCAAGATGCTGCGTTACAGTCGACGTTAGCGTTTATATTTCATTTTCAACTGGAAACCAAAATTTCATGATGCGCAGGGAACTTATTAAATTTCCACTGTTGCGAACTATCTTAAAAGCATGAGAATTGTTAATATTTAGAGAAAAGGAAAATAAAGAATGCACTGATCAATTAACACTGGGACTATCATTTAATTTTGATTGACGTGTAATCCCTACAAAAATTGTAACAATAGATTATTTCCAATTTCTTCAGACCTTCGCTATAATATTCAAGTGAAACTGTTTATTTTCTAAATCATTTCGAATATTCAATGCGTCGAACATATTAATAATTGCGAAACAAAAACACCGAAACCAATTTTTCTAGCGTTAAAATAATAGTTTCCAATCCCTATCATACTTCTTAATTTTCTGTCGAATTTCAGATTTCACAGGAATCAAGGATGTAAATCCTTAATTAAAGTTTACGTTCGTATATTTACCACCGAACGTGTTTCAAAGGACGCCGAAACTTTTCATAGTTAACGACGAAAACCATTTCCGAGCGAAGCATCTGATCTGTCATATCCGAGGAACAGATGGACACGGAACTATAAAAGCTGCCGCTTAATGAGGGATAATTCATCCGGGTAATTAAAGTAGCGATCAAAACTTGATACTCCATATAAAAAAACATTACCGCCGAAGGAACGCGAGCAGTCGTTAAAAAAGATTCTCATCCGTCTACAGGCTCATCTCGCCATAACGCGGGGAGAAGATAGGGGAAAAAAGAGGCGATGCGCGTATCCCATCGCGTTATTACCGCATTTGTCGGAGAGGAATTCTCCCCCGGCCCTGTGTGTAACGCACGAATCCACTTACCTCTTTATCACCCAAATGATGAACGGTGCAATCAAGGAAAGCGGGTTGGTTGACCGCTGTCGTCACGTTTCGTGTTACGTTCATCTCGAACGAAGGCGAATTAGTGACGCTGTGATTGCCGAAGGTGTTTCCTCCCAGCAGCCTTTGCTCCCGCGCAAAGTTACCTGGAAAATAATTCAAGAACAATAAGCTATATGTTATGAACTTTGTATTGAATGTCGACACACGCAGAGACTTAAGCTCTTTACAGCACGGGACGAAAAACGTATTTGTATTTTTTCGTTAGAATATATTATAGATTCACTTTTCCTGCGTCTGACGAGTATACACTTATTTGATTTTATCGCGTGCACAATGGATTTCTCAAACTAAATTCCACAGTTAACTGGTTAATCGCATCGCACTCTTTAAAGCAATATATAAAGTGACACCGCGAACTAATAAAAGATGTTTTTATTATTACAAGTATTATTGGCAATGAAAGTATCGAGCAGAATCCACTGTGGAAAATAAATCGTAGGGAAAAAAGAGTCGAATGAAATTCGAATTATAATTCCACGCACAAGCCCACGGATTGAAAAAGTAAAAACTCCGTGGTTACTATCTATCGACCGCGCCGGCAGTCGCGTACACATTTCCAAGCGTTTTCCTTTCCTTTTTCCCGGGAACATTGCAGTGCAAAATTAATTGAGTTTGCGGGTACGATCGTCTACGTTTGCGGGCACCGTTTCTTCCTTTCTTTTCGCGTTCTTTTTGTAAAACGTAAAAAGTGGCGCCGGTTATTCGGTGAGATTACAGTTAATCCTTATTTATAAACGGTGTATCAGGGAACGTTGCCGTTGCCGCTAATGTCTTTAATCACGGCGATCGCGCTGCGGCGAGTACAGTCTACCACCTGTTCCTGATTGCTTCCGTGTTAGATTATCGAGCGAACGTTCGACACCGAGAAAACCAAGATACGTGTTTTTGCGTGACAGTCTATTTCTTAGCCAATTATTATACGGGGAACTAATCGAACGATTTACAGGAATTCGGTTGGTGGCGGCGAAATCCATTTAATAAATTTACAACCGCTCTTTATGATCTTGCCTCAAATTCAAAATAACTCACAAAGGAATAGTAAGGATGTTACAACTATCGCAATTGCTGTTAATGTCAGACAAAAGGAAGTACTGAACCCGGAAATTCAAAAAATTATGAAATTTTATGTGTTAATCTTTTGAATTTTTGAGTTAGATACCTTTCCTTGTCAGACATCAACAAAAATTGTAACAATTGTAATATCGTAGAAAAACCGTACATTGAAATAAAATAGAACTTTTTGTTGTCAGTATCTAAGTTAGATTGAGTGTAGCCTTTCTAGAAGTATTAAACACGATGTCTCTGATATATAAAAAGCCTAAGCCGATCATATCATTACTAAATTAAAATAAATAATTTCATAATGAAACTAAGAAAATTGTGCGTCAATTTCTAAATTATTTAAGAAACAGTAATGATCAAAATAATAACTAATTAAATGAAAGTATCTAATTTTAACACAATCAAGGTGACTACCTTCCTAGCAGAAAATATTAAATAACAGAGACTCAATTGATCGCATCGTTATCGAATTAGAAAAGCGTTTTACAATCGAACGGAAGAAAGTCGATTATCAATTTGCAAATTACGATACACCGTCGTCAAGGAGCTAAGTAGAGTTTGCGCATGGCCGATGGAGTTCAGAGAGTAATCAAGCGCTCAGCCAACAAGAATAATCAGAAGCACTCAGATTCGTTGTCAGTAACAGTTAGTTTAAACACCGTTGGGGTTTCACAGGAGCAATCAGGTTCCACCCTGTGTCGACCGATCGCTTTGTCCGAAGAGGGATCGGTGGCGAACTGTCACGAGTGTTATCAACTTAGGGCGCTCTGTAAACCAGCAAATTACGTGTTTGTAGGATCACAGCGAATGAAAAGTGCATACACGCCATGCACAAACACCGGTTATTACGATAACCGATTTATATTACGATCCGAACCAAGAAACGCTGTGTCGCTTTAATAGTCCGGTTTATATATCATAACGCACGATACACGAGAGTCGTGGGCATAAAGGATGAATGGCGCAATTAGAAGCATTAAATGTGGCCATTTTGACATTTAGAGAACACGGTGCATGAATATTAAACGACTACAGTTATAAAATATCATATAGACGCCGCGTATGCTTCGGAGTAATTCCGAACAGCAATTATTATAATTATTCATTAGAAACGAAATATCCTATGAATGAGATATATTTACGTATACAACTGAGCTGGTCGAATTAGAGAGAACGGAAGCGCGTGGTACTTGCGCAAATTGTAGTCGACTTCCCGGCTTATATTCTTTATAAAGTCTCGACGTTCTCCTTCGCAATATGGCGTTCGCGTTATCCGTTCCAAGTTAAAATATTCCGTATATTGTCTAAAGTAATACGCCGAAAACTGGAAGAAAGGTGAACGAAATAAAGCAACACGTTAGCCTCGCGAAGTTTAATTGAATAAAGCGAACTTGTTTTCGAACTTCCTCGAAAACTGCGGCGGGACTTTCTGGCCGACTTAATACGATGAAACAGATAAAACTTGTCTGGTTCATTGGGAAACGAGCATGAAGATGGTTTTAATCGTTTTAAAGTAAAAGGCGCTTATTTGTCGATAAATTCGGTTACCGGAGAACGCCGATTCGACGAGATTGGACATTGTTATAATAATATTGAATAAATATAGTTTATATATAACATGTACGCGTGCAGCGCTGATTACGTATATAAATATATAAACATTAAAATAAGTATTAAAATAGTAAAATCGAAACGTAACGCATACGATAAAGTGAAATGACTAAATGTGCAACATAAAATAAGTAAGTAAAATTAACGAAATATAACCAAAAAGAATGTAACAAAATAAAAGCCAGAAGAATAGAGTATACAAAATAAGATAAATAAATATGTGAAATACCAAAATATCTAACCATGGCTAACAATACAAAAGCATTGCGTATGAGAGCAACTACGAATATTAAAATAAAGTCAAGACATAAAATTTAAAATAAATAAAATAAAATAAATAAAAAATTATAACTAAAAACAGAATAACAAGATAAAGTCAGAAGTAAAATACAGTAATAAATTATGCGTTGCCCAGTCACGATAGATCTACTTTCACTATATTCATAATCAACCAATTTTAAATAAAACTCTCATAAAAATGTCGTCATCAGACACCGAAATTCACATTACAGTGACCAGAACGTATCAAAACGAGTCACTGGGCAGAAACGACTGTACCATTCAAAAATTAACAAACGAACGCACATTTCGAGCAAGCCGAACATCACGCACGCGTGCAACAGCGAAATTTCCTCGGCCGCCGGAGTAAATTGTGCACCCGTAATGCCGGTGAACCGGCCCGTGTCAAAGCCACAAGCCTCGCCGGGCGATTCTCTATTATGCAACGGAAAAACTGGAGACAACAGCTGCGTGCGACGTTCGGAATAGGATTTACTATCTTTCGTCGGGTGACTTCTTTCGGCGTAGAGCCGGGACGCTCCCTGAAATATCGATGAGGGACGCGAGCGAGCTAGCGAGCGAGAAATCGTTGCTCATCCGGTTACGTTCCTTGCGTGACTATCGGCGCGCCGCGATTTCGCTCGAGCGGCTCGGCCGAACGTTTTGCAAGCGTTCCACGGAATGATTTATCGCGGATCGGATGTTTGAAGAGCCGCTGGAACGCGCGGACGGCCGCACGCAAATCTTCCGAATTTATTAACCGCACGCGGCCGAACTCGAACGGATTTCGTATGACGCGACCGACGCGGATTACTGTTTGTCTTGTCGGGATGCGGCGACGCCGCGGGCAAAATAACATGATGCGCTCTGCTCGGTGAAATGCGATATTCGCGTACGTTCCCTTTTTCTCTCTGTTCGGCGCGGATGGTTCCGCGCGGCGCACCGCTCGGATGTTTCGTCGATCGAGGTGTCGCGCCAATGATGCATATGTTGCGGATCGGAAAGCGCGGAGTAATGTTTGAAGCGTTCGACGAGCGACGGCCAGAGGTGTTCGACGCCGATTGCGAATGGAGTTTTTGGTTTGACCGATGTGTTACCGTGATTAAGAGGCGATGTAGGTATTTAATGCATCGTTGACCGGCAGTTTTACGCGGAAGCTATCCCGTGTAACGGTTGTTATTCCGGAATTAAATGTGAAAATGTGACCGTCTGAATAACTTCGGTACACTTTGTTTATACATAATGAATCGACATGAAATTTTTGATGTATTTTTTATCGTAATTGTATGTGAATAGATGTTGGAGTTAAGATTCTAAAGAAACGTTGAATTATGATCAATAGCATCGTTGATATATGCTGCAAGTAGAAGTAGTCAATAATAAGTCAGACACAGATACAATTTTAAGCATCCGTATCTAACCACTGATTGAAGTATATTGAAAGTGAAAAGTTTTGTTAAAAATTGTTTTTACAGAATCGTCAATTTTCAGAATATGTAACCACTTTGACAATATACAAACCATTAAAAATAAAGTAATATATAATAGTAAAATATGTTACGTGTATGTTGAAAGTATGCTAATAAACTTATTATAACAATTATAATAATTGAAATTATTTTACATCATATATTATCTAAATAAATATTGAGCAGTTAATAAAAGAATTTGAAGATTATCGCATAAATTCCCAATAATACGAATATAACTGATCTATTGAATTATTACTCGCACGAAACGGACGAGTGACAAATTTCTTTATTAAAGACTTTATTATCGAAATCCCGTGCAGCGCGATTCGGAAATTGAATGCAATAAATAACAAAAGTTTAAACGGCGCGCGAGACATTTCACGGCAAAGATTTCCAGTTTTGCCAGATTCGGACGGTTTAATTCACGGTGATCAATAGATAGGGGACACTAAATAACCGAGTTGTCAATTGCAACAGGGAAAAATCGTTACATGTCGGGACAAAGGTGCTTGGAGCACTTCGATGTTATAATTCAAATGCCGCGCTCCGCGATTAATAATATACCAGTCGCGATAACGCGAGCCTTTTTTTTCAAAGGTCGAACATTTATTTCCGGATGAAAGAACATTTATGACACCATTTTTCCAATCGCCCCATAA